ACCTCTCTTTCTGTCCATTGAAGTGCTTTCTTCCTGGCTTAAGCCCCATTCCAGGGAAGAGTAGGGTCCCTCAGGCATATTGGAGGAGCCCGTGGGTCCTCCAAGTACCAGCAAGTGGATTTGTCCAACTCAGGAGCAGCCGGACAACCCCATGAGTGGGAAACAGCCATGCTCCCAGGCTTCACCTCCAGTGCTGGTACTGAGTCTAGGAAGCAGGTGCCTTGTGTGAGCTGGGGTGGGGAGCCATAAAAGCTCTCCTCAGCTCCACGACTTTCCACACTCACTCCGTTTTGCCCCATTTCTCAGCCGACAACCTCACTGCCCACTCCAAGCTCCAACCCCAAGACCTTGTCACGTGCTCCTTGCCTCATTCACACGTGTATGGTAATTGCCGCCTCTCATCATACTTACTGATGGGGCTGAGGACATGGCGTACAAGCATGAGGTCTGGAGTTCAGATTCCCAGAGCTCATGCGAATGCCAGATGTACCAGCTCTGTCTGGTGAAGAGACCGTGTGATAGTAAATAATGTGGAAGGGAGATGCATGATGACCTCACCCTCTGGCCTCCCCTGCATGCGCACCACATGCAGGTGGGAGATGGAAGTACACACTTGCATCCCACTTCCGACCAGCAGAGAAGAGCTGCAACCTGATGGGAGCAAATTCCAAAAGAACCTGGCCACAAATAAGAGATTGAACAAGGCCAGGATGAGGGAGGGCACATTCCAGAGATTGTTCCATCTATAGAGGAAGTACTGTCACCATCTCCATTTTACTCAGGGAAACTGAGGCACCGAGAGCTGAGGTGAGCTGCCCAAGGCCACACAACGCGTGTTCAGAAGAATTTGGATTCGGACCCTTTGAGCCCTTCATTGCAGAAAGTGGAGGCTGCTTGGTTGTGGGTTTGGGTCTATGCTCAGCCACACCTGTAGAGGTTTTCCTACTCCTGCTCTTTCCTCGCTGTCGGGATTTTCTTAGTTCCCCTATGACCAAGAGCCGTTCCTTTTCCACCGCACCTGTCTCCTCGGGGACACTCGGTTGCCTGTCACCCTGCTGCGTGTCATGCTGTACCACTCACCTACCAGATATTTAGGAAGCTTGCGGTACCGCGGGCACTGCCAGAGGAAAGGTGACTGTCCTCTTAGGGCTGGCACTGGGGAAGTGACTATCAGAAGCAGTGCATGGACACACATCTGAATTTGGACCAGAAGGATTTGAAGTGCAGCTCAGTGAAGGAGAAGAGACACTGTCCCTGATGCCTGAACGAGAAGACATTTGGGAGAGTATTCAATGAGGGCAGCAAGGGCCCAGCCCAGCGAGCGCTCATGACTATGGTAGGGTTTCGATTTTCTCGCAAGTTTCATGAAAACTACTGGGAATTTTTGTTTGTTTGTTTGGTTAGCTGTATTGTTTTGGTTTTTTTTTTTTTAAAGGCAGGATCTCACTAAGCAGACCAGCCTGGCCTGGAACTTACAGAGATCCACCTGCCTCTGCCTCCTGAATGCTGGGATTAAAGGTGAAGTCACAGTGCCTGGCACTACTGGAAGCTTTTAAGTTAGGTATTTCTGACTCAGCATGCCCACCCTGGAGTCCTGATACCCTGCGAACCTCCTCTTTCCGAGCTCTCCCCATCTCTGTTGGCACCAGCTCTTTGACCCACACCTAACCCTGGAGTCACCTTAGTGCCCCCTTTCCCACACAATGCTTACTTCCTCATTGGATGCAAGGGGCAGCGGGTGATGCCACTCCTCCCCTCCACCAGCCTCTCCGCTCAGGTGTTCACTGTGGGCTCTAGGCTGCTCCCTGAAAGCCTGGTAGCTAAGTTTCTGTTGACCAAACAAATGAGTGTCTTTTCCTTCCTACCATGACCCCTTCCTCATGCAAATAGTCCCTTGAGGGTCAAGCTCTGTGAGGTGGGGACCTGAGCTGTCTACACCTGTGGTTCTGAGTTTGAGTTTCTTCTTGGTGTGACTCAGATCTCTGTACACTGATTTCTGTGAGTCTTGGCATCCTCCTCTGTCAAATGGGACGTGAGCGGCTGCCGGCCTCGGATGCAGGCCGGATGCAGCGCACCCAGGCAAGCTCCCTGGTGCATAGCGTTAATGGCAGCTATATATAACCCAAGGCCTCCTTTGTACTCCCACCGCCTCTGTCCTACTTCTAGCCCTCATTATGCCGGCCGGTCTCACAGCTCTTTCCTAACTCAAGCTTCATTGCCACCAATCTGTCCTCTCAGGTGTCAAGCTTGTCCTCCCCTTGCCAGCCCTAATCATGTCCCCCCTCTGTTCCACAGCCTTCCGTGACTCCCAGTGTTGCCTCCAGCTAAGGCCTCACAGTGAGCACATTCGGGGCGGCCTGTAGCCTGAGTGTTTATGCCTGTGCCCTGGACTTGAGCTCCTCGGCGCTGTGCCACAGAGGAACTTGAACCTGTGCTGTGTCCCTGGATCAGTTTCATACCCGGCATCAGCCCTGCCCGTGCCCAGCTCTCTTCACCATGCCTGCCACTCCCAAGCTCTGACCTTGCCCCACCCTGCTATTTATTTGTTTTAGTCCTGGGGTAGCCTTGAACTCCTTTTGTGTCTTGTTTAGGGAGGCTGGAGCAGAAACAATGAGACTGGGAGTGGGTGGGGGTGGGGCCAATGGTTCGGGGCTTTGAGGATCCTGAGGAAGACTTCAGCTTTTGCTGTGGAAGGTGGGAACAGGCAGGAGATATGACTGCCGCAGTGGCTTGTGCTCGTGGTCTCAACACCCGGGAGGCTGAAGCAGAAAGACCGCAGGTTTAAAGCCCATGCAGTTTGGGTACAAAGTGAGAACGTCACAAAGAGCCGAGAGCTGGAGGTGTGTCTCAATGGCAGGGCACTTGCTCCACACGGCTGGGCCTTGGCTCCCGGCCTCAGCACTAGAAATGATAGTAAGTAATAATAATTTAGAGCCAGGGAATGTGGCTCAGAGGCAGTGTTTGTAGCTGAGAATGGTGGTTCACACCAGTTTTTATGTTGTTCTTTTGGTTTGGTTTGGTTTGGTTTGGTTTGGCTTTTCGAGACAGGGTTTCTTAGTAGCCATGGAGCCAAATCCTGGAACTCACTCTGTAGACCAGGCTGGCCTTGAACTCGCAGAGATCCTCCTTCCTCTTCCACCCAAGTGCTGGGATTAAAGGTGTGTGCCACCACTGCCCGGCTGGTGGTTCACACCAGTTATCCCAGCACTCGAGAAGTTGAGGCAGGAGAATTGCCCCACTTCGAGGACCAACATGGGCTACAAAATGAGAAATTGTCTAAAAACAAGATCTGGGTGTAGTGGTGCTTGCTCTTAACATCAGTGTGAGATCTTGTCTCAAACGAGGGCGGAGGCAAGGGTCCACGTCTGAAGGTTGTCCACTGACCTCCACAAGTGGCCCGTGGCACATGAGTGCCCATACACACGCTCCACAGGGGGATTTGTGCAGGTTTGGCATAAATACTGCAGCACTTCATAGAAGGAATGTGATTTCCCGTGTTTCAGGATGGGGCTGGGTCATTCTGGAAGCATCCGCTGTGGATGACAGAGACTGGTTGGTCTTTGCATAGAAGATAACTATATTGTAGAATTAATTTCACCTGTTTCATTTTATTTGTTTAATATAGAAAAGTTAAAATATCCTCTGCAATGCTGGATTCTGCTGGGCAGTGCTGGTCTGTTCTCTCCTCCCTCCACTTGGGGTGAAAGTCAGGGTCTTGTGGGTGTTAGACGAACACTCTGCCACTGAGCCCCACCCCTATCCCTCACTGGGAAATGCTAGGCTGGGGCTCTACCCTGAGCTACACTAATCCTCACTGGAGAGTCTAGGCAGGGGCTGTACCACTGAGCCACGCCCCAAGCGGAGCCTGGATAAGAACACTGAGCTGACCCCTCCCACCCCAGATAAAGAGCCATCACCTGTACTGAAGTAAATACCACACTTCCTTCCAACACTCTCCCCAGGCCCAGCGTGACTTTCTCTCAGCATGCCTCTCCTCGGTACACATCACTCTGACATTTGATGTGTTTACTGGGTTCTCTCAGCTTCCTCCACACACGGAGACCCATAACTCCTTTGCACACACTGAGCAACAGCTTCTGTCTACACAGAAAGAGGAAAGTGGGGCCCAGAAATAGAATGGTGCCTGTCAGAGGAAGTCTGAAGAAGTCCAAAGAAAACTGCATGGTCATGATCCCAGCAGTCAGGCGTCTGTGACATCAGAAGTGCACAGCCAAGGCCAGCCCAAGCTATATGATAAAACACTGTCTTCAAAAAATGTGCGTGCGTGCGTGTGTGTGTGTATGTATGTGATGGTGGTGGTGGTGGTATGTGCATTTATACATGGCATGACGGCTCATGCTTGCAATTCCACACCTGGAAGGCAGAGGCAGGAGGATTTCTGTCAGTTCAAGGACAGCCTGGTGGGCAACATAATAAGAATGCTCTCGAAAAACCAAAAAAAAAAAAAAGAATGCTATATTTCAATACTCTGTCTTAAGTATATGTATATTTGCTGCACATGGTGACACTTTGGAGGTAGAAGCAGGAGGATCTCTATGAGTCTGAGGCCGGTCTGGTCTACATGGTTAGTTCCAGGCCAGCCAAAGCTATACATTGAGACAGTGTCTTAATTGTGTGTGTGTGCGTGCGGGCACATGCAGACACACTTTTGTGATTATCATATATACACCAAGCATGTCGTGAATAGGGTGTCTCTTGCTGCCTCTGCGCTGCTATGTACCCCAGGCTAGCCAGCCCATGAGCAGCTTGGGATTAGAGGTATTTCACCCTCCCCACGGGTACACATAGGCATCTCACACACAGAAAGACAAAGTCACCACTCATTCTGTAAGACAGGAACCATTAGTGTCACGTGACAGGTGATGGAACTGATCTGCTGATGTCCAGTCACCAGCTGGGGACCTCATAGCGCCGTACACCTGCCCATCCACCTACCGCTGTTCCTCGCTTTCCTGTCTTACTGTTGTTTTCTCCTGCAGCATCTTGGCCACCGTCGGGACGGAGTTTGACCTACGGACACTGAGGGCGGTTCGTGTGCTGCGGCCACTCAAGCTGGTGTCTGGAATCCCAAGTGCGTGAGTCTCCATCCTTCTAGAAGGGTCTGCTTGGGGGCCCTCACTCCCATTCTTGCAGGCTGCCCCCTCAGGGGCTTCCCAGGAGTCAGGTCGAGGTTGTCTCTGGAAACAAACCAGAGCCTCATGCCTTTATTGAGCACCCACAGTCTCCCAGGAGTGTCTTCCGCACATTGTTCCTTCAGCACCCGTAACCTATGGTATAAACTCTGCCAGTGTCTCTGTTTCATAGGGCGGAAACGTAGGCACAGGTGTCTGAATAGTTAGATCAGGGTCACATGAAAAAGAAGGGACTGTGTGAGAGTTAGCAAGTGGAACTCCATGCCTAGGTCGTGACCCCGTGTTGGTGACTGTTGGCATTCACTGCCTATGAATGGAGCGTTGCAGAAAGAGCCTCCACTGCACTCACTTGGTCATCCACCCGCTTGGTGGTGATGAGAAGATGAGAAGAGCAAGGCTCGGGGGAGTCCTCGACGGGGGTCTGTACACATCCCGCCCGCTTGTTCTCCACGGATGTCTGGGCTTCACCCCATGGAGAGGGTGCTGCAGTGCAGGCTCAGGATTCAGTTGAGGGCGATTTCTGCGCCACGGTCTCACGTGATAGAAATCAGAAAGCAGCTACCCTGGGCCGCTGGGGATGGTTCAGTTGGTAGAATGCTTACCACACAGGCGTGAGGATCTGAGCTGAGATGTTAAAAGGGAGGGCACTGGCTGTTCTCCCAGAGGACCCAGGTTCAATTCCCAACACCCACCTGTCAGCTTACAATTGTCTGTACCTCCAGTGCCCTCTCCTGTCCTCCACAGACACTGCCCCTGATACACCCACATACATGCAAAAACCATAAAATAAAAGCAATTGAAAAAAATTAAAAAAAAATACACAAAGAAGAATGGTTTGATTTTGTTCCAGTCAGGAGGTTCTAAGCCTTAGTCTTACCCCTTTCCTTTGGGCTCGTAGCCCGACAGCACATTAGTGAGCCCACATAGTCACTGACTTACCCCATGGCAGCCAGAAAAGCAAAAGCCTTACACACAGTGACGACATCCTTCCATGAAGCCCCACCCCTTAAAGTTCTACACCCAAGCTACCCACAGGCTGGGAACTAAGATTTTAGCCAGTGGCCTTTGGGTGGGAGAGTGTTGTAACTATAACAGAACACCCACAATAATCAACTTAGAAGAAAGAAAGGTTTGCCTGTGTCAGGATTGGTTTCAGCCTGTTCTGTCTTCCCAGTTGTGTTAGGCCTGTGGTAAAGCCACCCGTCATGGTGGGAATACCAGGCAGAGCCAAACCACTCACCTGGGGTTGGAGAGGTGACTCAGGGATTGAGAGCACTGGCTGCTCTTACAGAGGACTTGAATTCAGTTCCTAGCACCCCTGTCTGGTGGCAACTCCAGGTCCAGGCATCCTCTTCTGGCTTCTGATGGCATTGCACACACCTGAACAAATTCACTCACAAATAGAAACACAGATAAACATAAAAATACATCTTTAGGCGAGATGGCTCAGCAGTTAGGAGCCCTGGCTGCTCTTCCAGGTGATGGCGGTTCAACTCAGCAGCCCCATAGAGATTCATAATTGTCTTTAACTCCATTCCCAGAGTATTCTGTACCTTCTTCTGACCTCTGTGGGCACCAGGCACAAGATGGTGCACCAACATGCTTACAAACCAAGCACTCATACACATAAAATAAAAAAAAAATCACTTAAAATTAAAAAAATAAAAGCACTTACCTGTATCGAACAGAGGGAAAGGGCCCTTACTCAATCTGCCCTGTATCTGTGGGCCCCACACTCACCGTCAGCCAACTGTGGTTGAACATCCCTAGTGAACAACCTCGTCTACTGAGCCCATCTTCCTCGCCATCATTCCTGAGCAGCACAATCTAACAACTGCTTACACAGCGCTAATGTTATATTAGGGATTAACAGTTAGGTAGAAGTTGGGTGTAGTGATCCCAGCACTCGGGTGGCAGAGGCAGACGGATCTCTGTGAGTTCCAGGACAGCCAGGGCTGTTACACAGAGAAGCCCTGTCTCAAAACAAAGTTATCTCAATTCTCAATATTATTGACACAGGAGGATGTGTGTGGTCTATGCAAACAGCATCTACTTTCTGGTGTAGACTTGGTGTCTGCAGATACTGCCATCCGTGGGGAACCTCCTAGAGGTCCAGACAGCACAGAGACTGCAGTCAGGATCTGACCTGCTTTGCAGGGAAGTTACAAGTCTTATTCTGCTCCCTTCTAGCTTGCAAAGAGGGAGGAGAGAGGAAAAGGGAAGAAATTGTTCTGACTTTCCTTGGCTTTTAAAATTGTAGTGTGCTGGCAAAATAGCTCAGTGGAAAAGGGCTTGTCAACAAGCCTGGTGACCCAAGTTCAACCCCCAAGATCCGCAGAAGAGAACTGAGTCCACAGAGTTGTCCTCTGACCTCCACAAACAATTACAATAATTAATTAAATCTCTTAAAAGTTTAAACTCATGGGGCTTTTCACATAGGATGAAACTTGGAGCATTTTCAGTTTAACTCCTTCCTGTTTCTCTCCAAAAACAAAAAAAAAAAACAAAAAAAAAACAAAAAACAAACCATCCCTAAAGCTGCTGCTGAACCAATCCACCAATGTGGGTGCAACAGCTCATGAGGCATGAGGGGGGGACTCTTGAGGACAAGGGCTTGCCTGGGCCCCCATCGGATACTTTCCATCCAAATCTCCCACACCTGGTGACATCTAGCTGCCCATGCCCCCCCATGTGTCACATGACCCCACATTCAGTGTTATCCTTCTCAGCTGACTTACCTGGAGCACAGAAACTTGTGTGGCAGTGAAGAACAGCAGGCTCCGTGTGAACCCTGACTCTGCTGTCCCTCAGACCCCGCTGAGCCTCAGTTCCCAGCCTGTAAAACGGAGGTGATTTTTAGCCTGCAGCTGCCTCCGCAGGTCAGGGCTGCAAGCTGAAGAGATAATGGGGAATCTGATCCTTGGAGCTGAGAGTTGGGGTGCTGGCTGCAGGCCCTGCAAGGCTGCTGGTAACCGAAGGGAGCCGGGGTGAAGGGGACAAGTGACCCTCTCTTGGCTTGGGGCCGTTTAGGGAAACAGCACCCCCTTGTGGAGGGAAGCTACTAAGGGTCCCAGAAAATGGCTTACTTAGAAAGTCCTGGTTAGCTGCCCTTGGGTCCTGAAGCTCTTCAAAGAGCACAGTCTAGATCATAAACACCGAGGCCTTTCTTGGGGGGAGGGGTGGCCACCTACCTCTTAGTCACATGGGAGGCACTTGGGGTGCTCGCTCACTGGCTGGTCTCTGTCTCCCCAGGTTTACAAGTCGTCCTGAAGTCAATCATGAAGGCGATGATCCCTCTGCTGCAGATCGGCCTACTCCTGTTTTTTGCAATCCTTATTTTTGCAATCATAGGGTTAGAATTTTATATGGGAAAATTTCATACCACCTGCTTTGAAGAGGGGACAGGTAGGTCTATACTGTGGGATGTGAGGTCTTTCTCAGGGGACAAAGCTCCAGAAAGACAGGCAGGGGCAGTGGTTTCACCAGCCCTGGAAGTGGGGACTCTGCAGCAATGGGCCTGCTTACAGTTCACCGGAGAGAAGGCTGTGTGTGTGACTGGGGGCCGAGATCTCGTTGAACATGCATGAGGCCCTGGGTACATCCCCAGCATGGCTACAGTGATGGGCTTGGGGGGACCCCTAGCAGGCAAGTGGTTTGCCAGGATGTGACCCCTGAGGCACCCCTGGGAGACACGGAGAGACAGGCTTAGAATGTGCTCTTGAGCAGTTTTCCCTGTGAGCTCAGGCAAATGCTGTAGTGTCTGGAAACAGCAGGAGTGTATCTCACCACGGAAATGGAGGGCGGGGCTAGATAACAGAGTACGAACAAGGGAGGGTCCTTCCCTGCTCCTCCAGAACCCAGCACCTGACAGACAGGTCCGGACCCAGGCCACGGGATCCCCGCCTCTGATAGGATCCTGTTCCATCCAGTCAGAACCCAGCACCCAGCAGGTGCTGCCTGCCCAAGGCCCCTTCATGCTTTAGCTAACCATTGGGAGACTGAGTCCAGAGGGAGCTGCGGTGTGATTTGGGCCCACAGAGGTCAGCATGGAGGTGCACTTGGGGCTCAGTTCTGACCAGCAAGGTGAAAGGCACAATATGCATTCACATTTGGAGATGCAGGCCCTTCCAGATGCATTTGCAGTTCAATCCTAGACTCCCCAAATTCGAGCTGCCTGAATGCCCCAGAACCAAGGAGACTCAAACAAAAGGGGGTACCTGTGTTTCAGTACTTGGACCACCTGCCCCAGAGCAGGCAATCTGGGTTTCCATAGCCAGAGTAAGAGGAAACTCATGGGCAAAGAGGCAGCCAAGGAAGCGTGGTGTGTGCAGAAGTGGTCTCGTACCAGCTGCACCAACTGACCCCAGCAGATCCACAGAGGATGGTGTCCTGGCCAGGTCCCCACTGGGAAGGTTGTTCTAGAAACTGGGACTTTGCTTCTTCTTTCGCCTGCTTCTTCTCCCCTGGGCTTGTGAAGTTTGCTCGATACAGAATGGCCTAATTATTTCTTTCTCCAATGAAGAAAGTGTTAATTGAAGCGGATCTATTTCTGCACCTGGTCTCACCCAGGCAGAAGACAGAGAAAGTGTCTCTCAGCCCCAAACAGAAAAACCCCAACTTAGGACCTAGGGGCTTAGGCTGTGGGATGTGTCCGGGGTGTTTTTGTTTTTGTTTTGTTTTCCCATCCAGGACTGGCTGGCTGGGGTCCCAGTGGGGTTGTGGGGGGACTAATGTAGGTGGAGCCATGGAGGGCAGCAGCCTGGATTCGGGAGGCGATCCAGAGAGCTCCCAATTAAGACTGTGATGTGTGAGTAAGAGACAGATATACACAGACGCCCCGGCAGCAGGCTAATTTTAAAATATATTTATAGCTGAATTTCTCCGACTCCGGATGGCTGTGTTTCTCGACTCAACCCGGGGAGTGCTTGGCGTCGACGACTAAGTTTGAGGGGGCTGGGGTCGAGCACACCTCTGGATGATGTTGCTAAAGATAGGTGGTTCCCAGCCACAGGCTTGGGGAGCCCACTTCCTGTCACCCACTGCCATCCCACACGTTCACAGACTCCAAGACAAAGCGAAATGCTTCCTGTTTTCTAAGAGTTCCCAGAATCCTGGATGAACCAGACCCTGAATCGCACACATTCTAGGCAAGGAGGCTGATGTGCAGTTGTCTCCGTGCTGCCCACTCACGGGAAAGCTGGGGGACTTTCCAGAGGCCTGAGGAAGTGGGGACACCAGAATTAACCAGGTGATCCCAGGGGGTTTCACGTGAACCGGATTTGGACTGGAATTGGGGCAGAGATACACAGGTGATCTTCCCGGGTGCCCCTGTATAACCCTGAGCCTTAAGCTTCAATGGTTTTGCTTTCCCGTCTCCTCACTGTGTGTGAGTCCATTGTGGGAGCAGCCTAGATATCAAAACTGCAAGCAAGGCCTTTGGCTGCCTTTGTTTACCTCACACTGTGCTGGGTTTTTGTTTTGCTTTTTGGTTGGTTTTGGTCTTTGTCTTGCTTTAAGACAATCGGTCTCACTGTATAGTCCAGGCTAGCCTGAAAGCAGTCATCTTCTGACATCCTGGGTGCTGGGGTCACAGGTGTGAGCCCTCTCTGCCCCTGACATGTTCTTTACTGTTGACAGGATGTCTCCATGTAGCAGGGGGCTACGTTCGGTCCCCTTCCCTGCATGGCAGTTGGAGTGGGTGCAGTAAAGCCAGCTGCACACAGGAAACGGATGTCTGTTGAAAGGAACTTGATTTTTATACTCTTGGCTGTTAGTTTTCTTTTCAAACATGTCATCTTTTGTTCTCGAGCCTTCTCAAGCCAGCCGTCCTAGCTCTGGGGAAGTTGAGGCAGGAGGATTTCCAAGAGTACGCAGTGAGTTTGTGGCCAGGTTGAGCCAGGTGTCCAGCCCCTCCCCATTCACTTCAATGCCAAAGAATTTGTGTGCCATGTTCTGCCTGTTCGTCCCCTGTAGGCTGTCTGGGGACGCAGTGTTAAATAGTATCCCCTGACACTCCTTACATGTCACAATGTATCTCCTGGTACTGGGGGAGAAAGCTCTCCTTCTGTTCCTACCCTCAGGTGAGGGTAGGATCCATGTGTACCTCTCCCTCACCCCAGAATCCCATGCATGTCGTGAAGAAAAGCAGTCAGCGAGGCTCTAGAAGTCTCCCAGATGACACGCATTCCTTGGTGCCCTGATCTGACCGTGCTGTGGATCATAGAACACATTCCGGTAGCTAGTGACTACGTAGACGACAGCATAGAATGCCAGCTCACAGGGCTGCCAATCAAGCCCAGAAAGAAAGCGCCACAGCATTTGGAAACCGAGAGGCATGCTTCTTGTTTGCGCATGAAACTATCTGATGTTGGGGAATCTAGCGAGTGGTCTGAGTGTGTGTGGGTGATGGACGTGAGCAAGGCTGCCCCGGAGTCACTCGATGTGGCAACCAGTGACACCAATGATAAACACATGGGAAAACACCTCTCTTTTTTTCTTCCCCTCTCCCTCGTTTATTTTTCCAGAGAAATATTTATTACCCATGGGTCAAGAATCAAAAGAAAAATAATAATGGAAATTGAGGACTGTCTTAGGGTTTCAGTTACTGTGACAAGACACTATGACCATGGCGATTCTTATAAATAAAACTTTTGGGTTTTTTTTGGGGGGGTGGTTTTCGAGATGGGATTTCTCTGTAGCTTTGGAGCCTGTCCTGGAACTAGCTCTTGTAGACCAGGCAGGCCTCAAATTCTCAGAGATCTGCCTGTTCCTGCCTCCCAAGTACTGGGATTAAAGGCGTGCACCACCACTATCCAGCATAAATAAAACATTTAACTGAGGCTAGTTTACAGTTCAGAAGTTCAGTTCATTATAATTGTGGCAGGAGCATGGCAATGTGTAGGCAGACATGGTGCCGGAGAAGGAGCCAAGAATTCTACATCTGCATGGGCAGGCAGCAGGAAGAGAGAGATCCTGGACCTGATTGAGCTTCTAAAACCTCAGAGCCCATCATTGACACACTTCCTCCAGCAAGGCCACACCCCCTAATAGTGCCAGTCCTGGGGGCCAAGCATTCGAAGATGAGTCTGTGGGGGCCATTCCTGTTAAAACCACCACAGGGAATATTTTCACAATACTAATTAATAACCATGACAGTGTTTCTGAGTTGCAGTCAGAACTGCACTTGAAGGACAATTTATAGCCTTCAAGAAAATGTCTCCATTTCAGCAGATTCAGAAAAGACAGGGGCCAGAGGTGGGGGTGCACGCCTTTAATTCAGGAGGCAGAGGCAGGGTGATCTCTGAGTTCAAGTCCATGCTGGTCTACAGAGAAAGTACCAGGAGCTGAAGAATCTGGTGCTGCAGATAGGAACTAAGAGATCTACAGCTGGACACTGATATTTCGTCCCAGTCACCACTTTCCTGTCATCAGTAGGTTCTTCTGACCCCTCCCTCTTACTCTCCACTGTCCCCTTTCTAGACGACATCCAGAGTGAGTCGCCAGCTCCGTGTGGGACAGAGGAGCCCGCCCGCACCTGCCCCAACGGGACCAAATGTCAGCCGTACTGGGAAGGGCCCAACAACGGCATCACTCAGTTCGACAACATCCTGTTCGCTGTGCTCACTGTTTTCCAGTGCATCACCATGGAAGGCTGGACTGATCTCCTCTACAATGTAAGCGCTGCTGGGGCACACAGGTGGCGTGGAGAGGGAGCCCTGGGGTGAGTTCAACACCCTTCTGGGCGGCGTGAGTCCAGGCCTTTAGAAATTCCTGAGTGTGGAAGTCTAGATAATATAGAGAGAGTACTCCTTAATGGTGCCTTGGCCAGCGGTTGTTAAATATGCTTTCTGTGTGCAAGCCTGAACTCAGCGTGAGTGGGACCTTTCCGCCTGGGCAATGCCATCCAGCGCTGGGCATCTTTTCCCATGACATATGGAGTACATGGGACCCAGGGGGTGACTGTGAGGATGTTGGTGTCCATGCTAAGTTACCTGGAATCCTTTATCTAAGCTCAAATCCATGCATTTCTGTGAGATCCTTCCGTGTGGGTTAAAGTCTCCCCTTTCCCCAGTAGGGAGCCACCAGCACAAATGTGGCTGAAATGTGGGTACACACACTGGACTTTCCACAGGTCTACACAAGCCACTGGCAGGACAGAACTGTGGACAGCCGGGAGAGAGGCAACAGGACATGGTCACAGACCATGGCTGGCTCACCCCCTCCGCAATGTATGACAGACACCCAGATTCTAGAAGCGCAGGATGTATTTGATTTAGTCACTTTCAAACGGGTACAGTTGGAAAGTGGCCACTTCACAGCTAGATCCGAAAAGGCACCTGTCCTGCCCTGTGTGCCGTCTGCTTAGTGACCGTCCCTCACCATGGGCCCTTCTGTGCCTTGACACATCTTCCCACTGCCTGTTTACACCAATGTAGTCATCCCTCAGCGGCCGTGGTCATTGGTTGCACGGCCCCTCTGATACCGTGGTCCAGGGCTGCTTCCGTTCCCTGTGTGAAATGGGGTGGAACACCTCCCCATGTTCTCTAAACCATGGTGTGCCAGCCTTTGCTGCATTGGTGATTCATGATACGTAGCTCAGGGCATGGGCAAGGGATGCTGAGTGCGCTCATTGCAGATGTGTGTTGATTTCTGACAACAGATATGGAGGACCAACTGCACAAGAAGAACCAAATCTATCTCTCGGGCTGGGAGATGGTTCCGTAGAGGAAGCACTTGTCTGACAAGTGTGAATTCTCACATGTGTGGTGACCTGCCAGTAACTGGAGGGCTCTAGAGGCAGAGATGGGGTCCCTAGGCAAGCTGGCCGGCTAGACTAACCAAAGCTACATTAACCAGGTTCAAGTGAGAGACCCTGTTCAATATTAGCATGCACTCAGTGTCAGCCCACAGCCTCTGCATGCACACATAGGCATGAAACTTGTGCATACACACATTGCACACAGAGGCAGAGACTTGTGCATACACACATTGCACACAGAGGCAGAGACTTGTGCATACACACATTGCACACAGAGGCAGAGACTTGTGCATACACACATTGCACACAGAGGCAGAGACTTGTGCATACACACATCGCATGCACACTACACAGGCATTTTTTAAAAATCTGTATTGTTCATCTTAGCGCCATAGGGTCACACTCTACACTTTTTCCATCACTCCTTCTCATAGCAATAAATTCTAGAATGGTCTTTGTGACAAGACAGAGTTCGTATTCTTTGTATAGCAGCATAGAATTGCATTGTGTTGCCACCCACAGTTTATGTGCTTGGTCCTTTAGAGAGGCATGTCTGGATGCCCACCACCGAAGGTCAGGTACTGTGGTGCCACGAGCACCGTTTCACTGTGGGCTTTTCATGCTTTTGTAGATGCAGATGGAGTCTATGGCCCCAAAGTGGGATTACAGGGTCAAAAGCTAAATTTATTTATAGGGTTGTTTTTTAAAAATGGGATGAGGGTAGGGAGATGGCTCAGATGAGAAAGTACTTGCTACACAAGTATGAGAACTTGAGGTTGACCAACAGAACCCATGTGAAAAGCTGTGGAGAAACACCCAAAGTTATCCTGTGACCTACACATGCATGCACACACAAATGCATGTACACATGCATGTAATTTTCAAATGCATACACACAGACATGCCTGTACTTACATACATAATACACATAGGCAAAAACAAACACACACATGGATATGTACACATAGAAGTATATACATACAAGCCGGGCGATGGTGGCGCACGCCTTTAATCCCAGCACTCGGGAGGCAGAGGTAGGCGGATCTCTGTGAGTTCAAGACCAGCCTGGTCTACAGAGCTAGTTCCAGGACAGGCTCCAAAGCCACAGAGAAACCCTGTCTCGAAAAACCAAAAAAAAAAAAAAAAAAAAAAAAAAAAAGAAGTATATACATACAATACATGCACACACATGAATACACACAGGTACACACACATACAAATACACTCATGCACATGCATATACAGTCATGCATGCACATATACACAGCAAGATGAAGGACATAACCAAGTATATTGCAATTCTTATAAACTATTTTTAAAACAGATTTGTGGGTTGGGTGTGGTGGCACAGAGCTGTCATCTGGGCACTAGGGAAGCCAAGACAGGAGGTCGAGACTTTGAGATCAGGCTGGACTACTTAGTAAGACACTATATCAATACAAGACCAAAGAAGGCAAGAGATGGCTCAGAAGTTAAAACTGCATAGTGTTCTTGGAGAGAAACTGGATTCTGTTTACAGTACCCACACTGGGTAGCTCACAACTCCCTATAACTCCGGCTCTAGGGGATCTGAGTCCTTTTCTGACCTCTGAGAGAACACATAATAATAACAATAATAATAATAATAGATAGATTGATTGATTGATTGATTGATTTTATCTAAAACCATTATGGAGTATCGATAGCCCACACTGGGTCACATAAGTCTCATGGTTTCATGGCAGTGCCAAGTTTCAAAAGCCTTGTGTAGCACTCTGAGACTTAGTGGCTCTCACAGTGGCACCTGCAGTTGATGTGGTCAGCAAGTGATAGTTTAGCAAGTAACTAAAATCCTCAACCTCCATGTTTGGCTCAACCTAACACCATCTTGCTGCCCAAAATAAGAGATTCAAAAACAGCCTTGTATTTGGGGCTGAAAAGATAATTTAGTGATTAAGAGCACATACTGTTCTTCCTAAGGACCTGAGTTCAATTCCCAGCACCCATATCAGGTGGCTTACAACTGCCTGTAACTCCAGTTCCAGGGGTCTGACAACCTCACAGACATACATGTAGGCAAATAAATAAACAAATCATTTTTTTAATGTGCTCTTCCCAGGAAGCAGAGGCAGGTGGATTTCTGTGAATTTGATACCAGTCTTTCCCACACAGTAGCTGCAGGCCAGCCAAAGCTACAGAGTGAGACCCTATCCCAGGGAGAAAACAAACAGCCCTGTGTGAAGATGTGCTCTTTCTGTTTTGGGTACTATCCTCCAGATAAGAAACTGAGGCTTCCCAGTGAGAGATTAGTCTCCTGAGTCTCCCAGACAATTTCAACAGAACAGAATAATTCTAATCCAACACAGGTCACTATTCTTTGCCGCCAGCCCCTCTTTGTCTTATGCCCGTAGTGTTTCTTTCGTTCATTAATTTATGTATACATTCTCTGTCTCCTCCTTTTTCTTCTCCCCTCCTCCCTCTTTTCTCTCCTTCCTCCTCTCTGTGCTTCTCCTCATGAGCCTCTTTTACTCCCTTCCTTTCCTTTGGTTAATGTCAGTGAAGAAGCAGCAAAACCGTTGCCTGTCTGTTAATAATCTCACACCTCTTGACTAATGATCACAAACAGTGGGGATGAATCTGTGGCCTAAGCCTTTTCTCATTCACAGATACTTGTCTCATTTCAAGTCAGGTGACTCTGGGGGACTGCCAAGCACTCATTCATCCAACAAGCGATGATTGAATACCTACTACATGCAGCGCCCTGTGAGTGCCTAACGTATGCGTGTGTATTGGCGACACCTCCTGTGTCGTGACATTTCAGACACTAAGGAGTTGCCCTTCTAGTGGGTGAAGTGACTGTTAGATCAAAGACAGTGGGCACAGACTATTTTATGCTCCGTGTGGCTCATACGGACAGAACGGGGCTACACACCAGTCCGACCTGCACTCTTTAGAACCTGAGTCAGTCAGGAGACACCTGTCTTGCCAGCAGGAAGGCCTGAGTCCTCAGGCAAGGTGCTGCATGCCTGTAACCCCAGCTCTGTGGAGGCAGAGATGAGACTCCATGGGGCTAGCCTTACCTACTGGAACAAGGCCAAGACCAGTAAGAGACCCTATCTCAAAGGAACTGGAGTCGTGGCTTCCCTCACCCAACACACACATGAACATGCATACACACACATGAGCATGCGTACACACACATGAGCATGCGTACACACACATACTAAAGAAAACTTGTAGATGCCGTGCATTTGAGATAGCTTAGGGCAGTGAGGCAGTCAAGGGTCACCCAAGGGACAGGTGGGTAGTCTCCTCCTGAGAAGACTAACAGAAGTGAGGGTAGCCCACAGGTCTTCTTAGAAGGCCAGCCCAGGCAGATGGAACAACCAAGACAGAAGCCCTGAGGCAGGACTGCCCTGGTCTTTTTTTTTTTTTTTTTTTTTTTAAAGATTTATTTATTTATTATGAAGACAGTGTTCTGTCTGTCTGTATGGTTGCTGGCCAGAAGAGGGCACCAGATCTCATTACAGATGGCTGTGAGCCACCATGTGGTTGCTGGGAATTGAACTCAGGACCTCTGGAAGAGCAGTCAGTGCTCTTAACCTCTGAGCCATCTCTCCAGCCCTGCCCTGGTCTTTTTGAGCAGCACTGGAGCTGCACAGGAGGTGGAGGGGCACGTGAAGGTAAGAGAGGGAACCCAGGAAGCAGTGGTGGTGACAGCCTCACAGGATGGCCCCAGAGTAACAACTGCTGAGAATCTGCGTGTTGACAAGTACAAACTGGGGCCCGTGGCCTCCAAGGTCACCGCCAAACCTTGGCTCTTCTGGTCGAATCCATCTCATCTTTATCTCAGAAATTGGAGTTGATTGTCTTCTTAAATTGAGGAGGTTTTTTTTTTTTTCTTATATCTTTTCTGTGGCTTTTTTTTTTCCTGAA